TTGCCCTCCGCGCGTACCGAATTTAGCCCTTAAAGAAGAAACAAACCCGGGAGGCTGCTCTGAAGGTTCCCCGAAGGTAATGTTGGAGCGAGTGTGCCTGTTGGGGTGCCTGCCGCGCCCCGGGAAGGGCGAAGTTTTGGAGGGGGGGTACCCCTAAAGGGTGAGGTGAGGTGAGGGGGGGACAGGGCAGCAGCTTTGCTACCGCGACACGAACTTCGCCTCAGAGGATGAGGAGACCTGGAGGGCTTGGAAGCGGCGCCGCGTTCAGTGCGTGCGGCGACCCGGGCAGTCACACACCACCGGCTGGTTGTAGTGACTGTATGGGTGCGTGCGGACCGCGCAGTGGAGCTGAAGGAACTCGAGGGATAGGCGCAGTCAGCGTATCTCCTGCTGGCTGAGTGATGTGGCAGTCCTGTGCTCCCCGAACAGCAACACCTGGAAAGGATGAAAAAGCCCAAACCCAGCTGTGAAGGGTGGTAGTGCTCATGGGGAAGCAGCAGGAACTTGTGGCCAGAAGCAAAGGAGGAGGTGGGACTGTCCCTTTCAGTGCCACCTGCTTGAAGTTCAGCTCGGTTCAACCAGTTCGGGAAATAGCATCTTCCCTGGTTTTTAATCACCTCTCCTTTTTTTCTGAACTATTTTATTGGCAGTAAACACCCAGGAGTTCCAGACACATATTTCTCATAGCCAGGAGTGAGTTCATAGCTAACCAACATGTTTCTGCTATGCCAAAACCAAGATGTAGATTACAGTTGTATTCCCCAGTAGTTTAAAATACTGCATTGTCTTCTCCAGTGGAAAAGAATAAGCAGGATAAAAGGGATTTTCACTCCTCAGTTTTCTTTTCAATAAATGTATTTATGGATTCTTGAGGTACCAGTTTGTTGGATCAAAATAAGAACTTTAACGTGGAAGATTCAAAACAAATGATGATAAAAAATACAGAGACATATCACAACAAAAAGTCTTTAATAAAGCAACAACAGAGTATTTTCCCCTGATAAAAAAAAAAAAAAAAAAAAAAAAAAAGAAAAAGGAAAAGCTGCAGCTGCTAAAAGCGTTCATATTTTTAATAATAAAACTGAAAATTGGTGCCAGCTCATAATTTAAAAACATGGAGGAGCAGCACATCTGTCTGCTAATGCTCAGTTTATTTTCACATAAGAGAAAATCACATAGTGGAAAACCATTTAGCTAAGTTCTTCCCATGCTCCTCTCCTTGGAGACAGATAGAGAAAAGGAGGATGTTGTCATGCACAGTGCCACAGGAGAATCACCCAGCAGCTTGAATCTTCAAGCTTCATTGTCACAGGCTTGCATAGCAATGGAAACCACACTGCACCACGCTGCACCTGACTGAAAAAGAGATTTGGAAACCTTAGCACGTCCTGTGCCATCACAGATGCACACCTGGACGTTTTGCAGACAACGACTTCTGGAGCTCTTCGTTGTTGTGAAAAGTATCTCTGTTTTAAAGTATCCCCTACTTGCATTTGAGAAGATGTTTCATCTTGAAGCTCAGATGATTCACAAACAGGAATACTAGCTGCAGTTGCACTGATGAGACCTGGCACATTCTTCCCTGCCACAGCGAAATCAAGCTGAAAACCTTTTCCTGTTGTGTTTTACTGTTTCAAACGCAAGTGAAACAGAGCTTTTGAAAAGATGCCCTGGAGACAAGGTGCTATGTTTCAGCTTGCTCACCAGCACACTGTTTAGTTGATTAATACAGAAATTGCTAGAGACCTAAAAGGCTGCCAGAGCCATGGGAGATAGATTCCCCCTTCTCCACTTCCCTGCCTTGGCCTACACTGGTGATGCCTGTTACCCTGCAAAGACGCTTGGGTTAACGAATGGAGAGGCCCAAGGACTGAGACTGATTTACTTTTGCTGTTTTTACTTTCTTGACAATTCTGCTGTAAGGGCAGAGCTGTGACATTCAGATGACCTTCGTCATATCAGTTTTATTTCATAGAATGTTGGAAGTGACGTTAAAGCTCATCCAGTTCCAACCCTCCTGCCATGGGCAGGGACACCTTGCACTAGAGCAGGTTGCTCCAAGCCCCTGTGTCCAACCTGGCCTTGAACCCTGCCAGGGATGGGGCAGCCACAGCTTCTCTGGGCAACCTGTGCCAGCGCCTCAGCACCCTCACAGGGAAGAACTTCTTCCTAATGTCCAATCTAAATCCACACCCTTTCAGTTTCAAGCCATTACCCCTTGTCCTGTCAGTACATGTCCCTGTAAAAAGTCCCTCTCCAGCTTTCTTGTAGACTCCCTTTAGGCACTGGAAGCTGCTCTAGGGTCTCCCTGGAGCCTTCTCTTTTCCATGCTGAACAAGCCCAAGTCTCTCAGCCTGTCACCACAGGAGAGATGCTCCAGACCTCAGAGCATCTTTGTGGCCTCCTCTGGACTTGCTCTAGCAGGTTCATGTCCCTCTTGTGTTGGGGACCCAGAGCTGAAAGCAGTACTGCAGGCGGGGTCTCACGAGAGCAGAGTAGATGGGCAGGATCACCTCCTTCGACCTGCTGGTCACACTCCTGTTGGTGCAGCTCACGAC